ATCTCTCCACGCCAGCTAAATATCTAGCGTGATGTTTCACCATCGACCTAGTATGACTAGCGGTCATGAGAACCCTGTCTCAATGACTATTCACGAAAGACTCAGTCATGAGTCGAACTCAAACCCTATCTAGGATCGAGTCGCGAATAAGGCTAAGAGCCGTGTATTGCAAATGGGTAGCGCTGATGCCTGAGTGCGTTCGTCTAGTTGAGCTTGCAGGATCCTGTATTCATTCCCCTTAGGGGACTTCATGAGCAGACAGTGAATGACGGGAAGGTTTGCGTCATCGGCCATGTTACAGAGGTTGTGGACGCGAGTGGCTAGGGCAGCTCCGAATTTATCCGTGAAGGTTTTGTTGCTCTTCTCATGGTCATACTGGAGTTGTTGTTCGACAGTAGCCTCCGGCGTGTCACGTAGGTTCGTGATTCCTGCATTGAAGGTTGCATTGGTCAGGCCCGGACCCACCGCGCCAAGCGCGGCCAGGTAGGGGGAGAGCACCCGGTTGGTACTTCGTTGGAGCGCGTTAGCGCTAATGGGCGCGGCCACGTTGGCCACGGCATTGCTGGTAGAAGTATGACCTCCTGCGACCAACGTGCAACAGGCGCGGAACCATTGGACCAAAGGGGCGATGGCAGCTTGTCGCGCTGCGTCAACGTGAGTCATCTCAGGGGCGAGGACTTCCGCGCGGAACTGGGGAAGACTGTACTGTCCCTCGGGACGGGCCGCGAGGACAGCTTCAGAAAGATAGGACGCGACGGACACGGAAGACATCGCCGTGGGGACCACTGTGGAGTACAGGAGCGGGGACGGCGGCGAACATGGTTCCTCCGTCAATAATTGTCATGTTGTGGCAGGCGATGTCTGCCGTGCGCTCGAAGGCAGACATGGGGAGGACCACCGTAATTGCGCTTCGAAGATCGTTCCCTACCACGATAGCGTAGAGATTGTCGTAAGGAGAGGCTTGGCTCGGATTCACGGGGTAAGCATAGAGTGAGTGTCGTTCGAGGCGCCACCCACAGCAGTGAGGATATCAGCGTAGTTAGGAGCATGTACTTCCCATGCCGCTGCACGAGAGACGAGATCCGAAAAATTAGAGCTGGCCATGGTGAGGGTCGAAAAGATACGAAACCTGATGCCGGCGCAAGAGATTAATCTAATCTAGGTTTTTGCTTTCAGCGTCGGCTGAATGAAGAATTGTGAGCTGAGAGAGAGACAACCTTCTTGCGATCGGCAGTTCAATGGCTGATCTTGGCTAGGTCGCTGGCTTTAGTGATTCATGGTTGCCGCTGTCGATCTTGCCAAATGTGGTCTTGGACGGGCGTCGTTGCCTTAAGGGTAATCCTGTTCGAGAGGCATTGAGGAGCTGATGCGGTGCATCATCATGTGGGGTATCCAAATCCGGAACGCAGGTGATGACCTGCGAGATGTAGAGATGTACTTGAGTTGTAGGTGAGGAGCGTGGGAATTAATTTTGCAAATTGTGAGGTGGTCCTCTTGGCAACCATGATTAGGGTCATAGTTGCGAGAATCCATCAGGGTTCATGTTTCCACGCTGCGGGGGCGTGGAAACTCGGACGGGGGGTTCCCCAGGCGTGCTGCTGCTCGACACGGAGCACAGTATAGTGCGGGTGCGTGCCACAAACAAAAGGAAGCCCAAGAAAAGATTCTCTGAAGCCCCCTTTCTCGTCAAGTAAGTTAGTGATGAGTCACCTGCCTGACCACGGTATCTTCCGAGTTTCTACCAGTAGCCGATTCTCGATGGGAGGCGTGATGGCCCAGAAGCTTCTATTCTGCTCTTCAGACACCTTCCAGCTGGTGCACCAAACAAAAAAGAACAGGCTTATCACGTCGCGTTTACTCTACTTCGAAGCAAGCAATTAATAATGCCGATGGTGCACTTGCACTCTTCCGCTAATTTTGCTCCCTTGTCCTTCCTGGTTTTCCTCCATGCACCCCCCTTCCCTGCCCCCCTTGTTTTGCCCTGCTCGCGTCCTCATTGCTCTCCCCGTATGCCCACCACACCAGCCACCCACCACCGCAGCCACTGATTTGCCTAGCCTCGCCCCCCTCGCTCCTTAACGTATCTATTTAGTATTTATTTATCTCATTAATAATGATGCAAGAGAGAAGACAAGAAGCACATAAGCCCCTATTGTTCCAGACCATTTTTTAATTAACATACCGCCATCAATGATCATGGTGATAATCAGATACAAGTATGATTTAGAAGCTGTGGAAGCTGCTGCATGTGTATGTGTCCTGTCCATGAAATCGACGTGGAGATGAGGAGCGGCCAAAACGTTTCATGCTCTCCTTCAAATACACCGCAACCTTCTGTGCTACCGGTACCGGTATCTATCTAGCTACGGGTAGCCGGTGGAGTTTTCCGTGAAGGTCCCGCTGGCTACATGTACCATCTCATCTACCGGAAATAGACTAGTGGATTTTGGTTTGGTGGCTCGAGGATGCAAGATCTGAGCGGGACCAAGTTTACCCCATCCTCGCGAGGGTCCGCTGATGCAGGCGAAGCTCCGAAAAGCTCTCGACGAGGTGATGGGGTTGGTGATGGTCCGCGTGAAGGTTCCTTCGGCAAAAGCTCTTCAGCTGCGCAACTGGTCTGAAGAAGCAACGAGCCTCATAACTTCATATTTCGACACAAAGTCTTGGCCATTACTCGAGAAACCTTTCACTAGCCACCCACCATGAAGATTGTTAATTGTTCCCCCTTCGCCATCGCTACCATGACATTGATGGCGAGGTCCTGCAGTGCTAATATCTGCGAGTTTGTCAGAGTTCCGGATAACTTCCTGGGCATGACAGATCAAGTCACCATTATTCCCCCCACAGGAACCACGGAGGTAGTATGTGACGTTACATGCTTCTCTAACAGAGGTGCCACCATCGACATTTTTCTCAGCCAGTTTGCTATCAAGGATCGAACAACCGAATGTGGAACCACTATTTCCCACACGACAACGCAAGCAATTCTCCTACAATGGACAGCAGATGGCAACCAAGACCTGATCATCTCATGTAATTGCAATAATCTCAGCACTCCTGCTCCTTCTGCTGCTCCTATTTCTCCCACTCCTGCTCCCGCTTCCTCTTGTTTTTCCGAGGAAGCCACTGTGGAACAACCAGGTCAAGCATTCACCAAGATGGCTGAACTCAAGATTGGAGACATGGTCTTGACGGCCAACAACCAGTACCAGCCAGTCTACGCCTTTGCCCACAATGATGCCACCTCTGACACGCAATTCCTTCAAATCCACACCACAAGTGGCAAGAACCCATTGGAAGTCACTGGTCAGCATTTGGTCTATGTGCAGGGGCAGGATGCTCCAGTCACAGCCAAATCCATCAAGGTTGGTGATACTCTCTCCCAAGCTCAAGCTGGAGCTGGAAGTGAACAAGGAGACGATGCTGTTGCTGTTGTCACAACGATTGATACTGTCCAGCGCCGTGGAATATATGCTCCCATCACTCAGCCAGGATGGCACTCTTGTGGTGGACGGCATTGCATCCTCGTGCTACATATCCCTCCAACCCAGTGGAGATCCACAAACCATGGAACTACAAGGCCACTCCATATTCATTTTGTCTCACCACCATGTTGCTCACTTGCTCCTGACTGTGCATCATTGGTTTGTATGGGTGGGATCAACCCCAACTGGTGCCAGGCATACAATGACAATGGTGTGGCTCTTTTTGTGCAGATGGCATTTGATTTGTCCGACTGGTTTCATGCCCAGCACTGGTTGGTTCAGTTGTTCCTTTTGGCTGTTTACTTGGTTGTCTTGTGTCCCCTCTATGCCTTGGAGTTCTTGTTTGGTGCCAAGCTGGCTGCTGCCATGCTTGTTGGTGGGTTGGTACTATTTGCAGGTTCTTTTGTCTGTGGAAATGCTACTCCTGCTGTGGACCCAATGGTGGAGGACTTGAAGAAAGCAGCTTGAGGCACAAGGCCTGTCTATCTATGCATAGCTATCTAATACATTCTAAAGTAGCCAAGAAGGTGACTCCCCATGATGTGCTCATCAATTGGGCGAAACAAGCTTCGAACACACGAACACTCGCATGAACATAATACGTAGCGAAGGAGCCAGCTCAACAGTACAACAGGCACTCAGCCCGGGGGATGATGATGGACCCAAAGCTCAATCCAGCCCACCAATTGGGAGAGAAGTATATCCGAGGACATCAAACTACAACAATGGTCTATGGATGGTTGCGAGCTACAGATTTGGGCAGTTGATCGTCATCTTGTGGCTCGATCTTCCACCATTCGCCCTTCTTCCTGGAAGTGCGGACCGAGTCGAGTCGATGCAGCCTACCGAGATAATAAAGGGGGTCTAGCTACTAGAGCAGGGAAGTTATCTACAGAGGCCCGCAGAAGTTAGCCTGGTTGTCACCCACGCTCTCACTCACACACACGCACACAGCCTTTAGAGACGACATCCACTCTTCGCGATTGGGATCTTCAACTGAGCCAACACGCTCATGAAGACAAAGTTGGCAAAGATCCAGGAGAATGCAATCGTGAGGCACAGAAATGTACCGAACTTGGCAAAAAATTGGAGTTGGCAAAAGAAGAGAGGGATACTGGCGGCGACGCTTGTCACCATTCCGTTCAAAACACTGATACCCATGTCCCCAAACGCCTCCGTCAAACGTTCGTAGGTGTCATGATGGACCCAAAGTTCAATCCAGCCCACCAATTGGGAGAGAAGTATATATCTGGCTTCTTGAGAGGACATCAAACTACAACAATGGTCTGTGGATGGTTGCGAGCTACAGATTTGGGCAATTGATCGTCATCTTGTGGCTCGATCTTCCACCATTCGCCCTTCTTCCTGGAAGTGCGGACCGAGTCGAGTCGATGCAGCCTACTGAGATAATAAAGGGGGTCTAGCTACTAGAGCAGGGAAGTTATCTACAGAGGCCGGCAGAAGTTAGCCTGGTTGTCACCCACGCTCTCACTCACACACACACACACACAGCCTTTAGAGACGACATCCACTCTTCGCGATTGGGATCTTCAACTGAGCCAACACGCTCATGAAGACAAAGTTGGCAAAGATCCAGGAGAATGCAATCGTGAGGCACAGAAATGTACCGAACTTGGCAAAAAATTGGAGTTGGCAAAAGAAGAGAGGGATACTGGCGGCGACGCTTGTCACCATTCCGTTCAAAACACTGATACCCATGTCCCCAAACGCCTCCGTCAAACGTTCGTAGGTGTCACCGCTTGCAATTTCATAGGCATGAGCCAAGTGAACAACGTAATCGACACTGAAACCGGCAATGATACCAATCAAGATGGATTCAATACTACCAAGATCCCATCCCAGCATGACCATGGTTCCCGTCACACTGACCAAGACCGAGATGATAGAGAGACTGGCAAAGAATGCAATGTGAAAGACTCGAGTACTGATCAGTAGTACCACAAAGGCAATGCAAACACCAAGAATACTGCTCTGTACTGCCGTCGTCACGTAGATGGACTGGTTGTTCATAAAGACAAACTTGGTCTCCAAGTCAGTCATGATCACTGGGCCTGTGCAATACTGCGAGAGATCCCGATCCATTTCTTCTGCAATCTTCACGTACTCATCGTATTGCGTTCTCGCGACGTTTTCGGCACTCTGAGAGAACGGGTCCAGCACGTCGTCTTCCAGCGCAATGGCCGCATACCTCATGGTGTTTCCGTTCCAGCCCAGTTCGTTCGCATACCTCACAATGATGGTTTCGGTGTCATCGTAGCAGCTAGTCTCTCGTAAAAAGCCGTCCATGTACTGGCCGAATTCACTGGGAGGGACCTGCCATCCCTCCTCCGCCTTCCATTCGCCTCGAGTAACGTAGTCGCAATCGGCCAAATCTCCCTTGATACGGTAGGCTGCCAGTTCTTCGATGAAACAGTAGACTTGACCAACGCCTCCCTTCTTCTTGACGAATCCCTCATACTGCGAATCCGTCCGGAGTTTGTCGCACCATTTGACCATTTCCGTCTGACATTGCTCGTTAAATTCAAAGTTTTCCGAAAAGACGGGCTGTCCGTAGTTTTCCGGGTCGAGCAACAGATTGACACCCGCACGATCCACTTCCCCCAACCCGTAGGCAAAGTACACCTTGAGACCCAAATCTTCGTCTGCCGTGGGGAATTCATTGTTGATAATGGAGACAGACTTTTGCAATGGATGATCTTCATCGAGGAACTGTTCGGCTTCCTTGGTCGCTTCAATCTTGCTGAGTTGCCATGCGGCGACTCCAATCCACGCCGCAAACAGAACGAAAATGACGCCCTCACAGCCGGAGTCTTGATGAAATTGGCCACTCGATTGCGAAAGAACTCACTGACATAGTCTCCCTTGACATTCTCGTCGTGTTCCCCCGATTCCATGTGTGTGAGTGCAGCTTGAGTGGGTGGTGGGTCCGTCTTGGTGCAATTGGTACAGCAACATCCACAGCATCCTCGATCTTCATAGCGATCGTGGTAAATGACCACGGCCGTACAAAAGAGTGTCATGACCAAGACGTAATCAATGAAAATAACCACGGCCGCAAAGATTCCAAAGGACTGAATGGATGTCAGGGGCGTAATGAGAGTACACAAAAATGCCGAGCAAGTGGTGGCGGACGTAATGGCCATGGCGGTTCCCGTGCGTCGATAGACCCAAGTCATTCTGGTTTCCATATCGACCAGGTTTCCAGGATTGCGATATTTGCTCTGTTTGTAGGCATCCATAAAGATGAAAATATCATCGGCCCCAATGGCGGCGACAATAAAGATACTGAGTGCATTGAGCGTAGCAAAGTAATTGATTTGAAAGACGACATTGAAAATGAACCATGCCACAGGAATTGAAAAGAAGATTTCAAAGATTCCCACCCCGGCCAAGAACCATGACCCCGTGTTTATGAATAGCCATAAAAAGACGAATACTAGACTGGCAATGGCCTTCATGGCATCCTGTTGCACAATTTCGAGAATGACGTCAACAATGAGCGCGACCATGAAATAGTACGAGTTGACAGTGGGATGCTTGTCGTCCGATGCTTGATCATTCATGTTATCCAAATGGTTGTCGATAATGTAACTGAAGAACAAAATAGAAAGCGAAAAAGAAGTAGTAATATGAAAGTAGTGTGAGTACAAGCCATTACAAACTCAATCTCCATAATCTAAATCACAAACGTACTCTTTTCGTTGTTCATCATCATTTTCATCGGCTTCTTCCTTTTCCTCGGCGGTCAAATTCCCGCGATCGGTCAGCGGTCCTCCCCAAAAGAGAATCCCACGCGAATACAATGACACGGGATTATCGATACTGAATCCTTTGTCAAATCCAAAATCGACAAGTCCCTTGAAAATATCGACTTGCAGCAGGTACGATGCCAATTCCGTGACTTGCGTAATATTTTCCACTTGCGGTCCCTTCATGTCCCAATAACGGGTAATGGATGTCAAATTCCATGCCAATGCCAATGTATAGTCCACATCTTCTTGTGAATAAGTGGTAGCATTTTGAGGAATCAACAACAAATCACAGTAGAGACCACGAATGAAACAGAGGGAGAGAGCATTAAAGGTGGCCACCTTTTTGGGATCTTTGAGTTCGTCAATGACATGGGCGACCTTTACGGGATCATAAGACGACGGATAGTACATGATGAGTGGTGTCAGTGGAGTATCGCAGGTAGGTTCATCATTATTTCCTTGTTGGAGAGATCTGGTAGTAGTCCCATCTTCGGCAATTTCTTCGTCTCCTTCCGTGGTGGTGGTGGTGGGTGCTTCAGTCATCATCATCATCATCATGGTCGAGTTGTCATTGGTGGTGTTGCTGGTGGATGAATCATCAGCATCAGCATCAGAAGAAGAAGAAGATGTCGTACTTGTAGTAAAGTCTCTACTCTGCGGATACTTGTACAGACAATAGTTTTGGAATTCCGGATCTTGCAAGAAAATATCAAAAGCATTTTTCATGGCTTGAATGGAATCGGACGTGGCAAAGACACCCGCGGGTGTTTCTGCCTCATAAACCCAATAAGTCAAATCGGCCGTTTCGGATTGTTTTTTGGTTTGTGTCGTAGTCGACGCATCGAGTTGTTCATTGACGACATCATGGGCCAATCGTAGCGAATCGTACTGAATCGATCGCACATCGTTCAAATCGAATTCATTCGATGGATCAGAGAAAGGATTTCCTTCGGCAAAGACGACCATGAACAAAACAACCGTAATTCCAATGCACAGCAAGAAAATAAACCAAAAGACCAAACAAGGATTCCGGACCACCAGGTTGACAAATTTCAAGTTTCCACGTTCGTCTGTAAAACACGTTGGTTCGTGTTGGACGGGAGCGCCCACGCCCTTCATGTCATTGTCATTGTCGTCGTCATCGTCTGTTGTCATTGGTGGTTCTCCAGCAGCAGACTTATTGACTGCCAGTTCTTCATCTTCCACGACGGCTTCTTCCACTTTCACAGGCACTTCCGCAGCCATTACGTCATCATCGTCGTCGTCTTGGCTGGGCTTTGTCGTAGTAGTGGGAGCCGTAGCCGTGTCCGCTGGTATGTAGTCGTCCACATCAATCTCATCCACGTCAATCGAATCTTGCGTGTTGATGTTCATCTTGATCTCCTCTTCTCTTCTTCTTGATCTCCTCTTCTTGATGTTTGTCTGTCTGATCAGCACTCTCAATTTGGCAAGACTACTACCGGTAAGGTATGATGGAGCCACCGACTGACTATGCAAGCTATGCGCTTTTGATTCTGCTTATTTGCGACTTCGCCGAGTTGGAGCCAAAATTAATTGTGGGGAGTCGCGGTCGATCCTGCAAACAACTGACGTCATATCTTACTATAAACTTTACTGTAGTCTGAGAACATTCGAGAATTCTGTGGATGCAAAGGCATGAATCTTTGACGTCATTTTATTCCCACTAGTTTATCTCTAGTTCTAATAACTCGTGCTTGCTAGTATAGTATCGTTGGATCTTTAGGGTATCATTGGCCTTGTTGACGTCATGCTCATTTTTGTGTTTCTTCGCCGTTTTTCTTTCTTCTTCCCAAGGAGGAGCTGCGACCATCCAGGTCAAAACTCTATAATATGATTGAGTTTAACTAGTCTAGTCTAGTCCACCATGGACCCAAGCTCCACTGATAGCCATTACCATCACCATGATCATGATCGTACTTCTATGGAACCACTGAACATTGGCGATGGCTACGACGACGACACGACTTCCATGGGACATACCACCATGGATTCTCCTTCTTTGGTCCGCCGACAGATGGTAGTGTTTTTCATAGCAGCAGTCTTTCTGATTGTGATTGAAACTGTGGTTCCGTCCGCCACTGCCACCATGGTAGAGTTGGCCACGGGAAGACCCCTGATCACAATGATGACGATGAATGATCCAGGTGCTGCCAGGACAGCCAAGACCATGTTGGCACAGCTGCAACAGTCCCGCCAGGAATGGATTGATACCACACTCAAGGTAGACTACCGTATGGTCAATACCGTACGTACTATTACCAAGATATATTTGAACCATACGATGAAGAAGAAACCGGTCAACGAGTGTCCATTGGCCAGCAACGGGCGTTTCGAGATCCTTTCCAGTTGCCTCTCCCACAACAACAACAACAACGTGGACATGATGATAATGAGAAAGCGGATACCAAAAGTACAGAAGATCTGACGGCATGGAACCGCATGAAACGAAAATTTCAAATCAAGTTTCTACAGATTCGATCGATTGTCTGCTTTATTGACATGACAGTGGGAATGACGGTTCTCGGCATGGATCTGAACTACCAAAAGAATACAATCTACAAGGCATTTCCAGACTTGTATGGGATGAAAGAAGACCAAATTGACGAGTTGCCTCCACTCGTCAAGTACTTTCAGTGTCAGGGAATGATTAATTGAAAACGGTGTGCCAGGATGTAGAGACAACAAATTCAATACAACAACCTGCAGCTCCAGAACTGGCATGGCCACTTGGCATCCTGGCTGGAAATATCATGCCTTGGTGGGACACATGTTGGCATTCACCGTCTTACAAGTGGCTATCGATGCACTGGAAGAACTGGTCCAACTAATAATAGACGAGCCAGCCCATCATGGACGAGAAACCCTGGAACAAAAGCAGGCTCGATTGCAAAAGCAGCTACGACAATTGGACGCTGCCGAGCAGGAAGATGACGAAACTATATTTCGAAAACCCGTACCGGCGGAACTCATCGCCCACTTTGATTCCTATCTATGGAAGGGGGACCACAAGGAGGAAAACAAACTGGCCATGATGAAACAGCCAACGTCGTCCTTCTTGGAAATGCTCATCAAAGAGGCATCCTTTTGTCACACGGCATTGTTGCCCGCAGAGATTCGCATCCGCGGTTTGCTGACCGACAACCCCCACAATGATAATGATGTGGGCTCTGTGTGGGATCAAAACTACGACATGGGAGTCATGCAATCCGATGTGGCTTTGGCGGAGTCGCCAGATCCAAGTGCTGGCCAAACGCCCCATGTGTTACAAAGCAGCCGACCAGATCAATCTGATTTCATGATGATTGGCACGGACCCAAAAGAACACCAGTCCTGTTCTTCTCACGACAACAACATGTTGAATGCCGACTACAAGGATTACTTTTTCGTCACGAGCCGCGAATCTTGGACGTTGCACAAAGAAGAAGCTTGGCGCAAAGTGCCCTTTCCGAATCCGTCGGAGCAAGCTTACTACACCGAGTTTGAACCGCTAGTGGCACGTGGATGGGTCTTCATCTGCATGTCCACTTGTAAGTGACGGAATCGAATCGAATCACTGGTGGAGTCTTATATAATGCGTGTGTGTGGAACAGATCGCGGCAATTCGTTCCTAACCCTTGATTTGCTTATTGGTTGCTTCGAACCTGAATGCATGTATGCGCAGGTCCCTGGGGCCGCTGTCCCATGGGGGATATCCGGAATCATGTCTTGGATTTGACCACTGATCCTGCTGGTGGCGGGAGAATTGAAATGGAGGTCAACCAAGTGAACGTTACAAGTGTGCACTGCATGAACAAGTGTTGTGCGCTGAAGCACGAAGTGGAAGGAGACGACGATAAACAGGAAACGCAAGCATTCATTTGGAGACCCCAACCGAACGGTCAGTATGTATTTCGAGCAAGAATTACCGACAACACAGTGTGGAGCTATGCCCGGTTCAGTTCCTTTATTGTACTGTAGAATGTGAAACTCTTTGGTTATATTCAGTTATCCATCCTCTTCAATAACGCTTCCCGCTCCGGTCCTCTAGACCCAATTCCCCTTGTGCGCAATGTCTCCCAGAAATTGGAAGTATATATGCAGAGACAATCACAAATAAGCAACAGCTGAGGTCAAGACTCTCATCACGCTGAAGTGGCCCACATGCATGATGGACTTGAGAAACCAAACGACGATGTAATGGGTGCTACTTACGAGCATCCGAGTGGGCCTCTCACAACGCGTCCTTGCAAGACTACGAGATGATGACCGTAGCTAGCTGAGTACGTTGCTTGGTCTCCCTAATGAAGCTTCTCCCAAGCCGTCTCATGACAGGCTCCTTGATTGCCCAAACAAAAAGAATCACAACTCTTCTGCAGAAATCATGACTCAAATGTTCTTGGCTTGTTCTCTCATCTCCAAAGTAACCTCGAAGCATACATGTAAAGTGGAGACCAGAGTCAGAGTTGCCAGCATAGCAGTGCTGTTGGTCCAGACAGGTTTCATAGTACAACCCTTCTGTTGTAAAAGACCAGCTCTCAGAATGATATCACAGGTGCCATTCTGAGCTGGAGGATGAGCTGTTGTATTACTGTAGTACCGGTACGGCTTTTGTGAACGAGTTAACCACATGCAGGGATGGATGGATTGCCTTTTGTAACTAGCTAGTGGAGAGGCGAGCATTACACCATTTTCGTCTTGGTAGTAGTACCAGGACGACGACGACGACGACGACGACGGAGCCCCCAAACAAGTCCTGGCAGTAGGATCCATCCGTAGTGTTCCAGCACCATCAAAGTCCCAAAGACGAAAAGCGCCACGCCGAGGAGACTGATTTGAGCATAAAGAGTAAGTGTGTCGGCCCACTGCAAGATTTGAATTCCCGTGTCGACATAGTGTGGCAATCCTTTTTCATTGTATGTATGACAGTATCCCAACAAGAACGTGGCACAGACCATGCGGTAGGGTGTGAGGAACGTGTGAATGGCAACGTGCTGTGACATGAGGGGCATTCCATTTTGTAGATGTGCCATTCCCGTGGACGGGTGCTGTTGTGGTACCACCACCATGGCGTAGGAAGATACTTGAATTATTCCAACACTTGGATCGCCTTGTTGTTGCACCACCAAAAAGGATCCACTGGGCACTAAAGGAGCATAGAGTCCTTTCTTGCGAATGGATCCAATCTTATGTACAGTACGACCGTGAGGTTCTAGCTTGTCTCCTACTTGAATCTCACTGGCCGGAAGAGGGTGGGCTGTGCCTTGGCGATAGATCAAATGCTCTCCAGTCACTTGCAACGTCGTTGTGTTTTCTACGCTGTCATTTGCATCACTAGCACTAGTAGTCGTAAGAGTGAGAAACTCCGCCTCAGTGTGGGGCGCGTAATGACCAAATGCATAGACCGGTTCGTACGTGTCCTTGCCTGTCAAAATGCGGTCGCCCACTTGCAAGTCCGCCATGGTCGTGTCTTCTGCACGATGGAAATTTGGTTTCCACACTTGCACTTTTGTATCAAACGAAAAGCAAGCCACCACATAGACTTCGGTGCTACCGAGGCGGCGAAGCCTCTCCGTACTAGCAGATGTAGTTGTAGTGGTACTAGTAGATGTACCACTAGCAGTGGTAGCAGAGCACACTCCATACAGGAGACTCACTGTAGCCACCACAACACAAACACGGAGTAGTCCAACAGAAATCATCGTTTTAGTTAGAAGACACACAAAGCCAATAGTCTAGCAGATCTCGATGTCTTTTGAAGCCTTTGGTTGTTGGTGGAGTGGCTGTTCACTTACTTGGTCGCATGGTCAGAGCGACGGAAGATCTTTTGCAACAAAACGGAAATGAGAATGAGGTCCCGCAAATCACTCAAAGATTTAATAAAATGACATTGGAAGCGTAGTCCACGCCGTGGAACAATCCGCCACTTTCTTCAGGTTGGTTGGTCGGTCGGTCCGTCTTGGCACTTAGTTAGAATAATAATAACTTGTGATCCCCATCACAGGCACTTCCCATCGCCCAGACGACTGGCGAAGGAACGGTAGACTAGAATACACATGGTTTGGAGGGTTTGATCCACCAGGGCGACTCGAGTTGGTGGCTCGGCAAGGCGAAGAAAAACAAGTTTTACTACTATAGTATTCTCCAAAGGTAGTAAGAAATCAATACATACTCATTCCATTATCATCCTCCATCCCAGCATTTAGCTTAGCAGTGCCCGAGCTTGCTGTTCCAAAAAAATCCGAGGGTATTGAAAGATTCAATCCCTTGAAAAGCAAGATTTCTACCTCTTCGACGCTGGCTTACAACCTTTCCTTACATCGCGCGAATATAATGTGCATCAAGCAGGAATGAAATAATCGTCGCTCTGTGATTGCTTGTTAAATACCCCAATTCAACTGTGACTGAAAAGATTTGATGCTCACCGTGCTCACATTTTCGCACCATTTGTTGCCAGTTGCTTTCTTGTTTTGTTTGCCAGATGACATTTATTTGGTAGACGAAGTGGTTTGTTACAAGTGCTGGTCTCCACTCGACTGAACTTGACAACTGCAGAATTATCTACTTGCATTCCAAGGCAAGAGGATTCCTTCCTTCTTCTTTAGAAAGTCAGCCGCAGCAGTGTTGCTTGTGCTGCGGCTCTCCATGCATGAACTGACCAATACTAGTAGCTCACAGCACTGTGAATACTGGGATCATTGATCGTTCCTTCCAAATTGGCGTCAGAACTGACTATAGATTACCGTGGTACAAGCCAAAGCGCGCAAGACCAACCACTTGACGCAATACGTTGAGCATTCCATGTCCTCTGAAGCCCCTGAAAGCTCGTTGGATACGATTGAAGAAACGAAAGCATCCATTTCTAGCAGCATGGGCGAAGAATCCGGGGCCTCGCAAGTGGACGATTTTGCCGTAGGGGGTACAGGAGGAGGAGTACTACAGAGACCTCTGCAAGCCACATTTCAGGCAACCATGAGAGAGGAAGCCGCGTTGATGCCAGATTCCTTTCAGACACATCAGGAGGAGGAAGATGTAGATCTGGAGTCGTCTCTCAATACTAAACGAGCTCCAAGCTCGGAATCGCAAGATATGGATAGTAGACAACTTGTAGAAGAAAGAGAAGAAGAAGAACACCCACAGACTGATGATGTCACAACGGACATCAGCGACAAGGCAGACAGTTACATTGGTGAGGTCGACGAATCCGAACATGACCAAGACCTGCCAGTGCCCAATACTAATAAACCTGGACAGTCCAGGCGCTCGCAGTCTGCAGGATCTCCCGTGAATACGTCGTCCAAAATGCTACAACGACAGTACCAACGGCGGAGTGGCAAGGATGATATCGAGTTTGTTGCTGGCGGCAGCAGTCGTTCCAACTCACCCGTCCGTCCCAACGCCAAGACGCCGCTACGAAGTTCGGCAAAGTCGTCCAGCACTGCAACCGGAGATTTGGGAGTGCGACGTGGGACTCTTCTGAGTAGTGAAAGCGCGACGAAACGTGGAGACGGACGCTTGGGAAATTCCAGCCTGCGAGATTTGGATTCGTCATCAGGAGGACAAGGACAAAGACGCCGCCACTCGTACCATGCTCGGAAACAACCAAACGACGATAGCTTGTCTGATTCGTCCGACTTTTTCGTGGAAATACAGAAGAAAGGAACATTGGGCAGTCATTTGGTGCATCCTTCTACTGGAAAAGTAAAAGTGAAACGGGAATCCGCCATTTCAAGGAGATCCAGCACAGACAGCATTGATTCCATTGATATGACCATTATGCAGGATCCCGCCGAGGAACTCTTGAACAAGATTGGCGATTTGAAGGTCAAGCCCGTCACCGAAGCATCCCTCCAAGCGGCCAAGGACAAATCAGCCAGTACCAGGCTCTTTGCCAAACGAAAACCACCGAAAATTGATCAAAGGGTAAACCTCATGGATGCTACGGCAGGAAACTACGAGACTGGAAGCAACAGCAGCACCAGTGGGAGTGGCATCAGTGGTAATAGTAGTGGCAGAGGCAGTAAACGACTCAATGCACCATCGCGACCCAAAAAGTACCCTTCTCGACAACGCAATGCCAGCAAAGCGGATGTTGGATTGGTCGAAATGATTACGGGCGGTGGGTCGTCAGACTCGACATCATCCAAACGCTATCGAAGTAAACGGCCAGCCACAATACCCGAGAAACAAACGAGTTTCTGGTGTCGCTGGGAAGTTTTTGCCTTTTTGTGGTTCCTCCTGTTGGTGGCCGTGCTGTGTGTTCTTCCATTATTTGTGAAACAAACAGGTGGAGGAAGCGAGGCAACAAAGTCGGGAATCAACAACAACCTCGACCGAACAAGTGACCCTGCCGATCTCGAGACAAAGAGCTATCGAGATGGTACCGTGTTCTTGCCACCGCACGCGACAGAAGCAACCGCTAATGATCGCTATTTTCGGGATGGCACCATCAGCTTACAACAACCACACGTCCATGCAGCGACTGCTAATAGTGATCTGCTGCTGTCCCCCAGCACAACCAGCAAGATGAGCGAAATGACGCAACAAGTGGCCGCCCTTGAAGATCAGCTGTCAGAATTGAAGGAGCTGATAGTGCAGCATGGAATCTCAAAAGCTGATTCTCTGGATTGGAGCACTTTCCACGACACCGACGACAATGACTTCCAAGCCATGACACCTCAAACCAAGGCTTTGTTATGGTTGGCTCATCACGACACACTGCATACCGGTACGGAAGCTCGTGATGTTCAGCACCACAAGCTCTTTCAACGGTATTCTCTTGCGGTGCTCTACTACGCAACTCATGGGCTCCATCGAAATGGGACAATGAGTCTTATTCCTAATACTGGTCATGGTCATACTGACTTTTTCCCAACATCATTTCTGTATCAAAAGGAGCATGAAACATCTTGGATCAATAGCCATGGGTGGCTGTCAAAGGAATCAGTTTGCGGTTGGATTGGAGTTGTGTGCGCGAACAACTCTGATGAGGAGGAAATTCTTGCAGTGAACTTGACAAACAACGGCCTTAGCGGCAAGCTGCCCCTGCAAGAGTTGACTACTACGCTGAGGTGGAGCCTCCATGCGTTCGATCTCAGCGGGAACAACATACACGGATGTCTTGACTTTGGCATGCCATGGCCCCGTCTTCAAAAAATCTACATGCAGAACAACTTCTTGAGTGGAACCCTTCCCGTCGTCTGGTTGAAAGGATGCAAAGCAATGGAGGAGATCCTTCTTTCGGGCAATTACTTTGAAGGATCTATACCTGAGCTAGCATTCGAAGACTCCGACAGTCTTCGACGAATTCAGCTGGACCATAACAAGCTATCAGGCAGGGTGCCAGTTTTGGGCCATTTGCTCCAGTTAGGTAAGTGAAAAGAGGGATCGTTTGTGGTTGGAAGCTTCTCAAGTGGCTCACACACCTTTGATCCCCGCCAGAGTACCTGGAATTTCAGGGCAACTCCTTTACAGGCCCGTTTCCCATTGGAGTTTTCATGCTTTCGAATCTTGGTAAGTTGTGTTTTGGGTTGCAGACATTTGAGGTGTCTAAGACGCTGATCTGACTCCCTCGTTGTAAATTCCTTGTGTATCAATACAATGGTATTAGTCACGCTAAGAGCCGGCAGCAATCTCTTGAGTGGCACTCTCTCTACCGACCTGTCCAACATGATTGATTTAGGTGCGTGACCAATGTGCCGCCTATAGCAGTATTAGTTAGATTGCAAAAACTTCGGAGTTACTCACGCTCAAGCATCGAAAATGAAACGACGACTCTGCAGAGGTACTGGAAGTGGAAAACAATCGACTAGAGGGAACGGTTCCTGATGTCTTTTACACGCTTCCGAACATGAGTGAGTTCTAAAGTTACTGGTGTCACTTCAAGCTCTCGATTGCCATGCTCACCAACAATCGATCCGATCGGGCAGCACACCTCTCGCTGCGCGGCAACGGTTTTAGTGGACCGCTCCCCGAGAGCTTGGCGGCAATGGAGAAACTAGGTGAGCCCAGCAACTACAGAATACATCCAATATTTGTCGTTTGTTGGATGCTCACCTTCGTTGTGCTCCCCGAACGTATCTGTTTACATCCTCATAAAAATCTGCTCTCGAACTGTAGAGACATTGTCGTTGGAGGAGAACCAGTTTTCCGGTACCTTGTCGCCTTCCTTGAGTGCCCTAACCAATCTGAAATCACTACTGCTGCATCACAACCGCCTATCCGGGAAGGTGCCAGATGAAGTGTGTGCGTTGAAAGAGGGCTTTTTCAATTTGAAGAAACTGGGGCACGTAGCTGCCGATTGCGAGCAGAAGATTCAATGTGCGTGTTGCGACGAATGTTACTAGAGAGTGGCCAGTAGGTAGCTGATTTGAAGTAAAGCTGTTGTTCGCAAGGCTCCTATTTGCGGAGCACTTCGTCAACGCTGGCTGGACGTTCATTCATTCGTCTCATACAACGAACACTTCGACGACACAATGTAGCGAAGATGGCCCTTCGTGTTGGGGAGCACGATCGAACCACGCTTAACGAAAACGAAGTGGCAATGACAAAAACAAGGCAACACCAAGCGAGCGTAGCGAGATCGCCGAAGATGCAGCCAGAACTTAGGTCCTCGCAGTTCAGCCAGCAGTGGGTTCTTTCGTAGACAGATCGATCCCTGAATCGAATCTTTGATTCGGTTCGCGCTCTGCTTTGGCTTCTTACAGAACGCGGGGTTAAGGGTCGCATGTCAGTTCCATGTAGCTACGTGTACCTCCGCGAGGCAACCATCATTCTCTTCGAGGCTTCACGACGCGTTGACATGGACGATTGGATTCGTGGAAATGAACGAGAAAAGCCTGGCTGCCCTACCGGTACCGTACTCTATGCTTACCCCCACCCGAGCACGAGAATGAGAGCAGCCACTGTATCAACCTTTCAGCCAGCATACAAAAGGGGTTTAGAGGAACAGTTCCATTATCGATTCGAGACACAAACAGAATCGCGAGCAACGGTGCAAGGAATCAGGGCATACCTGCATTGCATACAGAACCCCGACACTTGAAGACAAGTAGCTATGTGGACACTCTCAAGGCAACTCAGTCACTCGATCAGTTCGGATACACCGGTGCCGCCATAGCCATTGCACCGCAGCTCCCGATCTCGCCAGTTCCGCTACAGTATGGTACCGGTATCTACATGTAGGATCGTCGTCACCAAGAAGCAGGTAATACGCAGTGATTGTACGAATACCGGCACCAAAAACATGGCCATATACAAGGGATTTAGTTTTAGAATGAATTTGGCTATGACGACTTGACCTTTAATAAAATGCAACACATATTTTTTGGTGGAGTTTTTGAGGGCAGCGTTTGCGGCTCTCTTTTTGTGGCTGTTTCTGGGTTTTGTGGACAGTTGTCCTTTTTTGTTGTTTGAGCTAAGCTATGTAGTTGGCCGATTTCATGCACACATGTAGTGGATCGTTCTTTTCCTTTGTGGAAGGGGTGGGCGTGATCGATTTGCCTTTTGTAGTTGTGGCACGCAGGGACGATCGAACCGAGCACTTCTAACAATGAGCTACATCATCAAAGCTTTCAACGATCACAACTTCTTTGATACCACCATCATCAAGTTCTTTGACATCCTCATCAGCCCCGGCGACATCAGCACCGCCAGTGTCTTGACCAGACTGCAGAATGGGGGTTGGAGAAACGGGGGAAGAAGGTGCTTCGGTTGGAGCAGGTGCGGGCGCCGAAAGTTCCAGTGTTCCTTGCAGTCCTTCCTGTTCCAATGTGGCAGCATATATGAGGTTCACCTTTTCGGATGTTCTCTTCCCCTTTTCTGTTTTGGTCAACGTCTCGTTGATGTCACCTTGGTACTTCGCAAGTTTCTTGTTTACCTGCTCCCTGGAAGATGAAGGAACAATGCAACGTGTGAGCAGCATGCTGCCATTAGGATACAGTTGTAGTGGGCTTGGAACACAAGTTCCTGGACGTACCTGGCGACTTGATAAGCAAGAATCTTTGCGTTTTCTTTGAACACGTGCACAGGGTTCTCCCCACGCATAAAGAGAGCCAAGCAAGCCAACAGCGTCACCAACACCAACTCCAGATAACTGAGATATCCTAAACTGGACCCCAAGATGACATGAACAGCTGGGCATGTAATGTAGGTTACGGAGACAATGCCATGGCATTGTCTCTCATCCCAGCCACCGTCCTCGTAACCAGTCTCACCACAAACGTGTCCATATGGCTCGCACTGGTCATGCCCATAATCGGAGCAACTAAAGCCATTCAAACTGCAGTGCTTCCAGTACATGCCATCAGGAATGGACGCATCATCATCATCAATGTATCCATCCCACTGCACCTTTGGTGGCTTGCTCTGTTCCTCTTCCAGAATATCCGTCTGACACAGAGTCTCTACTTCTTCTTGTGAACACTCTCGGAACTGTTCTGGAGTATCATACTTGGAGAACAAAAGGAAGTTCGTACTAAATTTTGTATCATTCCAGAGGAAATACTCATAGAGGTCCCCATACCACACAACACAGTGCTCGGCATCTCCAGTGTAGTGTGCAAGGCATGTATCATTCCACGTACTAAAGCCACACAAACACTCTTCTTCTTGATATTGGCCATTGATGGCGTACATACCATAGGGGGCGTCCCTTTTGGCACATTCTCTGGCACAGTCCGAGACAAAGTATGTTTCATCACCCTGTTTGAAGGCCAGACGTTCCCAATTATCAAAAGCAGTGCTCCGCAAGACCCCTCCTTTGAATGCAGTCCATACCCATGTATACTCAAACGTGGACAAGTCCACAAATGGCTCCTCAAACCCAAACAAAGGATCAGTTTTCTGACGTTCGTTTTGATTCCCAACGGCAAACTGATACTGGTCCAGGTAGTGTGTGGTGCAAAGATACTGGCGTGTCTCTGTATTGAAAAGATCTTGATAGGTCTGTGCTGACCAATCACCATCTAGAATGGTCTTGGTAGGAGTGCATTGGGCTGTCGTAGTAGTAGTATAGAAGAAAGCAAAGAGGAACTTGGCAATCACAGAAGCTGCAGCAATGAGAAAAGCAGTATTTAAAGAAAACTGACTGAGCAAGTCCATGGAAGAAACCATTTGTACCACAGCTGTGGCTTGAGACTCATAGAGCTCTTTGGTCTTTGCCTTGATGGTTTCGGTACACGTGGCTGGAGGAGTTGGCGTGGGATCTTCTGCATCGTCCGATACATTCTCAGTGACACCGGCATTGTGACGCTCCACAAGCTCTGCCATTGTTCGTTTCATCTGCTTGATCTCGGCTTGCAGGGCTTCATACTCCTCACGGCTCACAGAGTCAATGGATCTTTGGCAAGGAGGATCCGCAACATCCTCACGGCTCAATCTCACAGAGTCAGTGTACCTTTGGTAAGGAGGATCCATGTTGCTGTGGATCTTTTGTTCAAATTATGGAAGGATGAATGAGATGGGCGTCCCCAGAACCGGTACCGCAACGCCAGAAGAGAACCGCGCAAGTTGTCAACCTTCAGACTTGCATGCCAAAACACAGAAGGCCTTCGCGACACTGCGTCACTATACGAACCTTCTTCGTTAGCTGTCTTTGCTCCAAAGTACTTCTAAAAAGTGTGCTGGTGAAGGTCACATCACCAAAAGAATCCTGGAGTATCGGTACATTACTAGTAGCTACTAACTAATAAAAGAAGTTGTAAGGGAAAAGGGGGCTTTTAAAAAAGCCAGCCCACCGGTATTTGTACATAATGGGGCATTACAATGTCATGGACCGGTACAGAACCGGATCTCGAGCATCTCAGCCTCTCAGCTGTAAACGGGTCTTGGATGGGGATGCAGAGCTGAGAGAGCTGCTGAGAGTTAAGGTATTCACAATCTTAGTCACCTGAGTCGTAAGATGATACGAACAGAGAACAAGCAGCCGGAGGCCGGTGCCCTCAACTGTCAAAAAGAGATTTGATTGGTCAAATCTTTTACCGTGTTCAACTGGACACACTATTGATAGCAAGTCTCCATAGCCAGCCAGTACGGGCACAGTGGTATCGGTACCCATGGGTCCAGAGTACTGTGTCCAACAGAACACACAATATAAATCCCTATCCTTAACAAGGAAAATGTCCCTTATGTCTTTGGCAAAACCTCCACCGTGTTTATCTGGACACACTAGCGAGTCTGCATAGCCAGCCAGTACTGGTACCCATGCGTAGAAACTACTGTGTCCAACAGAACACACAAGATTAATCCCTATCCTTAACGAAGCAAGTGTCCCTTATGCGACGAAAGCAGCTGCAACAAACACACACACACACACACACAAAACGGTATACCCCATGGATAAACATCCAAATGGTAGATTCGTCGTAGATTAACTCTTAGTAGTGTCTACACACATCTCACACAACATCACACATCTCACACAACACTCAACGTATCTCAACGTACACACACCTACACACACACACACACACAAACACACACACATACACATACAGCGATAAAAGTGTGAAAGACCCTCAGTGCGTTGAGGGCAATTGGTAGAAAACTCTGAAACTCCGGAAGTCTCCGCCCTTTTATTTACCGCAACTGAATCTGAGTCATGGATTCCCCAGTCACGAACCGTGACTGTGGATCCCGAGTCGTCTGTCATAGTAACAGCCCAGCCCCCACCACCACAGTATGGTACCAGTACCGGTACCGGTACCATGGCCACCAAAGCAGAGCACATTCCAGGAAACAGTCGTCCACAACACTAACGATACCCCAGAGTGGGTAACGGACCTGTTATAACTCTGTCTGTCGGCTTGTTCAATTGCTTCTTTTATCAGCCTTCCTGTTGGCGGCTCATCAAAACCCAACGATGAGTTTGTCGTTGCTTCCTCATGTGTAACCTGACTCGACGCGACTCCAACTTTTCCCTGTGGCCGCAAAAACGAAAACAATATTATTGGCTTTCGGCGCGGACAAGAATGGGAGAGCTGTGTGTGTTCATGGCTCACCCATGAAAGGGAGAATGCCGCTGACCAAGGGATTCGATTCATTCCTATGCTGCGGTACGGGACAACAATCTCAATGGTGCTGCACCACCCAAGGGCTCATGACTGCTGACTCTTGAGTTGTGACTTCAGCAGTGCAACCTCCCATCTTGACCAAAGGAATTCGATTGAAAAAACGTAGACACGGCTCATTGCATGGATGGGAGAACTACCCTTCGCTTCCTTTTGCCCTCCAATCCATCACTATCAAGTTCGACACCCGATCAGAATCTGATTGTCCCATCAGCCTGCCAGTCCCATGCATCTCCTCACCGTGTGATTCTGCGCGACGCACTCGGAACCACGAATTTCCAAGAGAAGAGCCCAATAGTATGTCTCTCTCCACACAACAAGTATACGCCATCGCGAGTCTGGGCCTCCTACTAGCTAGAGCCACCATGCTTTGCACTGCAGTAAATGCGTGCCAATCTCATCCAATTGTCTTTTTGCCGGCAACCGCGCAGTTCTCGTCCCGGACAGACCCGATCACTTCACTCTGCCAAACAAGCGCTAGCTAGATAGGAGTCGAGACCATGAGATATTCTCCAGGCTATCCAAGTTTTCGGCATGCCGCGAGAGAACATCAGCCCCAGATATTCATGTATAGTGAGCGCAAACTCCAAGTTTCCAGGTACGTGTCCTTGATCAGAGACGCACTAATGTGGGCTATTGTTTTGGAAACACACGCTGATACGCTGATGCGGATGGCCAGAGCTTGGGTTGGATCAGCTCGTATACCTGGTTGGCCGTCGTCGTTTGTCTACTTCGATGTTGCTTGGGTCGAGTTCTCGAGGCGGTGGAGGATCAAGAAACGAGTTCAGCAACCACGGCAGTGACGAGACGCGGCTTTGTCACTCGACGCCGGTGGAAGACTGGGAGAAAACATTCAGACAACATTCAAAGGTGCATTCGAGCCCACGAATGACCAAATCCTCTGACCAACAGGACTTGGTACTCCGAATCAGCATCGTACGTGGTTCGATTCACTCGAGCGGAGCACCTGAGTTCCAACTTCTTCCACCTTCTTCCGCACTCGATGAACGGATGCTTTCCTCCTCGTCACGAGGACGTACCAGAAGACACTATTCCGAAAGTCACTTTGCCTGGCTCCAACGATACACCGGCCACGGGTCGCAGTCAACACCAGCTTTACATCGAGAGAATCCGAGTGGGTCTTTCCCCGGACCATTTATCGCAGCCAGTTCTTGTACGCAGCCAAGTCATGCTCCGCAGTCTCTCGAGGCGCTGCCGTCATGCCATGCCTTCGTACCGCTTTCAGTCAAGCAACCCTCACCACGACGAAGCACCATCATGTGCCTCAGCTCTGGTGCAAGATCGAAACGATTGCACATGCTGTGCGGGCGAATCTTTCCTCCAGGATCACGATGTTGGCTTCGATGAATGATCCCATCCATTGGTAAAGGATCGCCACCTCCCGCAGCAACAACATACAAGGGGCGTCTTCTCATTGCTGGGTCAGCCATGTCATGCGCTATCCTTTACTTTCGTAGCGTCGACCATTGTTGGCTTATTGTCAATCAAGTCAAACCCTGACAACATTCTCTATCAAGCAGATTCGATGTTGGCTAGCCCACCCCCGGTGCTTGACCAAGTCGAGGCCTTGCCTGGACCGCACAAGACCAATCCAAAACCCAGCCAGAGAACCGCACCATGCTCCCCCACCCGCGCATCAACTCGACCAATGCACATACAACGGGAGCTGGCCTACCTTCCAGTTGACATTACATCATGTCATCTCGGAGGAACTTTGTCCGAGCCCTGCGTGCGTGCCTCAGGCTGTGCCAATGTGTCAGATGCAGTAGTAATGTCCAAAGCTAAAAGCTTTTGCACTGGAGAAAGTCACAATGTCACGCAGAAGACGATCCCAAGCAAAACGAACACCCTGGATGGCACCATCGGTCCAGCCAGAGGACACAATTCCGAGCTAGATCCCACATCCTTCCCCAGCATCCACTATCAATCAACAGTGCATCACTCAGGATGACCGCATCGGTCCAGGCAGAAGTACACAATGCCTAGAGTAGGCTGGTCTTACAAGAATACTCGGACGGCGTACCGGTATATCTATCGATGACGAATCGCCGTATCACAGCAACCTGGCTTGCTGGTATACCGGTTCTTTCATTGGAACCTCGTCGTGATCCCCACTAAAGGAATGCATCGAGAAAGATACCGCCCCGCTGAACATACATGGAATTTCACCATCCAACTTGCTTTAATAATCCGAATCTTCTACTGTACCAGAGTTGGCATTGCTCTAACCATCCCCGAGCTTGAACTATTTCGGTTGCCAAAAAAGCCATCAAAAAGCCTCCCCTCCCCTGGTCCTGCAGAGGGATTAGCTGAATGGTACGATGTACGGTGATGTGGCGGTCGGGGAAGGTCTCTCTCCCTTTTTGCCAATGACTGTCCTGATGGCGAGAGGCAGGGAAGAAAAATCTACAGTCAGCAACCCAGCCCAGCCCAACCCAAGAAAAAGCTGCCAAGAGAGTCGCATCTATTCAGGATCAACCCAGATTGGAGGCATTGCCTGTGGGAGTAGCTATCACAACAACCCGGTAGATCGTAACTCGTTTGGTTCTGGACCACCCGAGCGGGAGTCGAGCCGTGGCACTATAGAATCCAAGTCTGATCTGTTACAGTTTGTGGAGTAAAAACTAGGACTATACCTACTCTAGCCCAGACAAAGATACCTTGCTCAGCATGTCCGAAGGGAATGGTGACCGACTGTGTGCGATTAGAATCAAAATGTGAAGGCAAAACGACTTGTAATTTTTGCATGTCGTTTTGAGTATAGCGGTACTAGGCTCTTAAATCATACTGCCCGTCGATCTTGGGGACTCTTAAGGATTTATGGTACGAAATTACTGGGTTGTGCAGGATTGAGACACCCCAAGATGGTATAAATATGGAAGCTGCATGTACTGGTTGGTCGCTTGTCACAACTACCGAGCTGCTTTCGATGTTGCCCGGATCGTTATGCCGCAAAAAGATCAAGATATCCATCCGCAGTTGGACATGAATGATGGATCTCCGTCCGAGAATAGAAGCTCACAAATTCAGAAAGCAACAAACACAAAAACACTACAGCAACACACACAAAAATGACATCCACAGCATACACTGCATCTCAGGGCTGCATTAGCCAACCACACGCACATGATGTTCTTAGCGGCAGGGGAGCTGGTATCACAAAGCACCCTGGTAACAAGAGATGGCGTGAATTGATCCACAACAACAGAGAGAAGTACACATCTTTGCCCCGCAATCAACGCCCTCTGATTGCTGAGCAAATCGTCAAGGCTGTCCGATCTCTCAATCCTCCTGGAAGATTCCTTTCCAAGGATGTAAACACACAGCTCTGGTACGAGATTGGAGATGACAAGGCTGCTGAGAAAACAGCACAAGCTATGAGAGATTCCAAGAAGACTGGCAAGGACCAATCACCATCCTCCTCCCCTGTCACTGCAAAGGTTACAGTACCCACTCCCTGGGTTGCATCTTCCCAATGTGCATCTCCCATTCCAGTCTTCGCCTCCGACGCCACATGCACTCCAACTCTAGGCAGACCAAGTCTCAAGAGACTGACCACGGATGATACATTCACCCAAAGAATGGAAGGATTTGCATTCATGCCACCAATAATTGAACGTGATGTCTCCACTATTCTCATGGATGTGGGAGAGTCAACTCATCACACCATGATGACTGGCCCTTCTGTTCAATGCTCGCCTGACCTCCAAAAGCCAGACATTGCGAGAGCTAGCACTTTTGACAGACACATCGCACAATGCACATTCACCGTCCCAAGCCGCCCTCCATTTGCCCGAGAAGAGTCAGGCCTCAGTTTTGCCTCTTTTGGAATGTTGGAGGAAGAAGAGTTCGATATGTTGGAAGCCTCTTGCGAAACCCCATCGGCGGAAACTCAAATTCCCGCCATGACACAACAAAACTGGAGCTTCACAAACGCAAACACACACAACAATACCAACTTCAATGCCATGAACCAGACACTTCACTCTTCCGACCACTTTGTCAGCTACGACATGGAGCCACTTCATATCGCAGACGATATGGACATAATGATGATGATGGATGATTCCGCACACCATTACAACACGAGGCGAATCAATCGCAACAGCTCCCCATTCCACTACTCTATTTAGACTACTACTGCTACTATTGTAACAACAGCTTAGACTTATTATGAGCAATGCTACTGAACTTCGCAAACCCTCTACCGTACAGTGTAGGAGCGCGCTACATTTGGGTGGTACTACCCGTGTGGCAAACTTGACTACCAACCACATTTATTTCTTTGGCCGGCAAAGCAAATCTTAGGCACCCGCAACCCGCAACATCCTGTTGCTCCTCCCGTGAGCATCGGCCACCTTATTTTATCCCGGACCGAGGTTGCTGCATGCACTTGTGTGCCCACGCGCTCGTCGGCGACGGGACATGATTGCCTTTCATTCCTTCGTGGCGAAAGGGCAAATCTTGCATAGACAATCCGCAAAAGTCTCGGGTGGGAGTGCGCGCGAGGAGCAACTGCGACTGCACCAAGATCCAACAAAACCCCAGCCCAAAACCAGATCCAAGTCGCCGAGCACGCTGAAAATATCTTTTGATTGGTGTTTTTGTTGCTCCGTTGCTTTCGGAGTGAGAGCGAGGGCGAAAGGGGTGGAAGGCAGTGATCTGATTGGCTAATCAACCTATGACATCAGCAAGTGCGTCAGCAAATATTCAAATATACTTAACGTACCATTTATAGATATTACGGATACAGTGTGCTACCAAATGGCGGATTTCTTCTTTCGCGAAAACCGAAAGAAGGATTCCATCGCGAAAAATCGACAATGACATCCTGCCGCTCACTCAACCAACCAACCAACCAACCACCGGCAACACCACCGGAGAGTCATTATCTCAGCCAAAAGCAGCACCATCATGACCGGAACAGCAGCAGCAACAGCAGCAACAGCAGCTACCACTCACAATGGAGGAATGGGCTGCCAAAGTCAACAGAGGAACTCCCAGCAGAAGAGAGCTTATGAACTCGCCAAATTGAACAACAACAGATCCAAGAGAGCCAGAGAAGAAGGACCCCAAACAACGCTGGGAGGAGAGGTAGCAGAAGTCTTTGATCCAATAAGATGTCATCTGTAAGGCCAGACATCTTGGGTCAGGTTCCAAAAGACACACCACGTTCTCTGTATTAAGAATACAGTAACAAGAGGAAGAGGAGATTTGAATGAGCTGACAATGGAAACCATCAGAGAGAGCAGAAGATCACAAGGCACTTCAGTGTCCTCTTCCACTGAATGAGAGAGAAGCTGGAAGCACTCAACAAGGAGAATGGAGATGCCTTCTTTTCTGCTAGAACAAACACCGCCAAACCAAATCAGAGCCGGCAACAGAAGAAATCCACAACCACACAACTCCAGTAGCTCTTTGTCAAAGGTAACCACTCTTGTAAATGATAATGCCTTTGTGGAACAGCACAAGACCAAAGGAGCACACTGGCAATGCTAGCCATGGCAGAAGCTGTGTCAGAATCCATTAACAAGCCAAGGAATCCACAATTCACCAACATTTTGAAGGACTCACCATGACAGTCCATCACAGAAGGAGCAATTCAAATCATCCCACTACCACTCCATTGTTTGCCAGAAACTACTCCTTGTGGACTGGAATCGATTTGGAATTACTGTACCTTTTCCCGATGGAAGATGCTCTGGCAACTCAAGAATGCGAGGCACAACTGGTCCAAGAACAAGACCCTGTTCCCTATCTTTGGCATCACTGGTCTCCTTCTTGGTGTATAGTCATGTCCATGGTTTGTGAAGCTGCAACAGAAGATTCGATGCCAACTCTGCAGAAGTGCTGGTCTCGATCCCAGACCATGCTCATTGCTCTATCCAGTGGAGTCCAAGTATGCTCTACCTAACAAGCTTGTCATTGGAGCGAACAGCAACAGAAGTATTCGATTCTATCATGTTAACCTATTGAAATGGAGACCTATGCAGCCGCCTCATCTACAACGCAATCAACAGAGAGTATCTTAAGCCATGATGTCTTACTTCTACATACTGGCAAGGAAGCGACACTGATCCTGATCCTTTCTTCAAAAGGATGGCACTTACATCGACAGTTTCCTCCTCTTGGTGACACCATCCGTACATCTTTGATGCTGCTTGTGCTTCAAACAGGAATCCGTGGAGGATCAGTGACAACCAAAGGCACACAAGAGAATCCAAAGTGTCAAGTGCAACAAAGGAATCTTCTGTCAAGACCACACCTTCCAGGTGATCAAGAACTACAGCAAGAGTCTTGTGCTTGCTGCTGTTTGGGATGCTGCTACTGAGACTGGAGAGATTGCTTCAGCATTCTCGTTCCTACCACCAAGACATCCACTTCTCCATGCTGCCATGCAGCTAGCAAGGAGGAGCCACTTCAATCCAGCTGCCATGTTACAGTGACACCTGGCCCCACAAGGATGACTACTGGGAGTTACTCTTTCCAGGATATGAGGGAAGACTTGGCCTGGTTCATTATGAGAAGAGGATTCTGTCAACTTTGAGGAAGGGTCACATTGATTACTTTCAAGCAATGCAGACCTTTGCGATTGCTTGTATGAGTACTCACCAGATTACTATGAGAAGGTCCTCCATGCATTGAAACATGCCTCTTGTCCTCCAATGGCAAGCACTATCCATGGCAGAGATCTCCGACAATGCAAGCCTCCAGGTCTTCAGAGCTCGGTACTCCAAGTAACTAAGGAAGCAGATGAGGTCACCAGAAAAATGAGGCAGAGGTTGCAGCAGTGGTTCTGCAGGTACAAGGTGACAGCCAGTGATGGTACCCAGCCAGGACAGGGGCGACTAGGATCCAGCCACAGAACTATACCTTGTTCCACTTTCTGATAACCAAGCCAGCAGTAGAGAACTGCGTTGACAAAGCGGCTCACTTGGCTGATCCCCTGGCACTGGAACACATGTATGACCCCATCCTACCATCACCCAATTCAAAGCACAGCATCCCAGAGTACCTATCAAGCAGAGGAGATCCAAACTGGAGGCTTTCCATGACAAGTTTGCCAATTTTGGCAATGGTGGAATGAGAAGAACCCTTGCTGATTCACTCAACCTTGCTGGAACAGCAAGATACAACCTCAAGATTAGACACAAGAGAGCCTTCCTGTCAAGAATAAGCCTGGAAGAAAGGAGGTCAATTACAGCTGGATGGGAAAAGGTTGTACCTTACTGGAATCATTCAGAGTTGGCTTACCTGAATCAGCTAGCACTGGCTGTGGGAGTGGATGAGCCATTTCCAAATGCAGAGCCATTGCCACATGATAATGGAGAGAGGTTCTTCTCAGAGTACATTGTTGGATTCAAACCACAGCGGCAAAAGTATGCACCACATGAATTTGTTTGTGTGTGGGCTGTTACAGGGACCACACCACCGACCCACCAGCAAATCGAGCCACCAAATCAACCAGCAATGGAGCCACCGACTGCAACAGCAATGGTTCCACCACCGCCGCCGCCACCACAACCACAACCACCGCCACAAGCAGATCCTCCTGTAGCACAAACAAGAAATTCTTACATTTGTAACCTGATACTCTATCAGCAACAACACCAGATTCATATGATGCAACTTGCCTTAATGCAGCAGCAATTCCA